GATTACCTTGTCACGATCTACCCCTTCCCTGCCAGTGTTCATCAAAACAAATCACATTCGTGTGTGTGGCTTACTTACCGTCACGATTGCATCTATACACACCCAGACGTAATATAAGGTCACGTAATACAAGTAGATATAAGGTAAGCTAAGTAATATAAGGCCATAAGGTATAATGATATAGCAGCGCTGATACCTGCAATGGTGTTGACGCGACTACGAGCCTGAACATGGTGTTTGACGCGACTGATTCACCGGCCTTACGAGGACGCTTATGCTGCGCGACATTTCAACCCACCCAGACGCAATACAAGGCCACGTATGGCAGCGAGCTGATGCCTGCAATGGTGTTGACGCGACTACGAGCCTGAACATGGTGTTGACGCGACTGATTCACCAGCCTTATGAGGACAACTTTATGCTGCGCGATGTTTGTAGACTACAGACGGCGGGCTACGAATCTAACATTGTTTTACATGAGACACAAATTTCTTTGTTGTATTCGTTTTGCATGTTTTTTTTTTGTGGATGTTGCTATATGTAAAATTTCTTTCTCACGCGTAGTCACACTCGTATAAATGTATGATACCATTTATTGGCCAATGGTATCGTCTTTAACATCGCCATTTTAACACTGACTTCTGACAAGAGAACACAATCGGGTCGCATTTTTGTTATTTGGTGCGGCAGCATTGACTGGCCTGCTATGACTTTGTAACGCTGATAAAGAACTAACTATCCCACATGAACTGAAAATGGCTTATACACTATGGCGTGCATCTGATTGAAGCCTTTTGTTTTTCGCCTAAATCCCAGGCAGGTATTGGCTAATGTGAATTGTAGATGCCAAGTCATAGAGTTGGGTTGGAAAACGTGACAAGATGCCAAATTGAGGCCCAAAAGTTTTCGCTCGCCGCTGGTGTACACATCTTCACCAGATTACGACCATGCCTCGCTATTATTCCGGACACGTTTTTATAACAAACTATTTCCACGCTGAGTGTATTCAAGATCACAGTAGTCTGTGAGAAAAGGATGCCAGTGGTCCCTAGTGCATTCACTTGAAATTACACAGGTATCGCCTTTATAAAGACACTTCATACTTGTGTTGCATAGCTTTGCCTGCGCTATTTCAAAGAGGCACTGGTGCTTGCAAGGGTGTCCGATCTTCTGGCGTGAGTCCCTCAGCTATCACAGTCACTTCCAGTCCTGTGGCTGGTGTCGAAGAGTATTTACCGACGGCATCTCATGAACAGGTCACCATATTTTATCAACGCTTATTCTCCGCTACAATCACAAGCAGACACTGTAGTTTTGTTCTGCCAACAATTCTGTTGTATATTACAGGGATGACATGTTGGAGCACTGGGAGTAATAGTACCAATCTCCCTCTGCTAAATTTTTTGAGTCACGATACCACATGCTATAACGGAGGCGTCGTTTTTGGCATCATTCCTCGGTGACCAGGGGGTGGGGTGCGTGCCACAGTGCCTCCTCTCTTTTCTGCCTGGCGAATGATTGTGTTTGCGGCCGCCTCTAGTGTTGAACCCATGCGCACCCCTAACACATGTAGTTCGTATGCATTTTGAATTGGCGTAACTCCCACACTGTGATGCTGTCACATTTTCAAGCAATTTTGTTGTATAGACTGCACGATGGGACCCACCCTTTCAGTCATGAATATCATGTCGAATGACTGTGTCCAATGTCCAATGTGTCCAATGCGTATGGCCTGCATTCATGTGTGTTTTGATACATCAACATAAGTCACTAGTAAAATCCGGTTTTACTCAACACGTTGGGGCAAGATTGAAAGGCGCAAAGTGAAAAACACACCTGAGAAATGTTTCGTACACACGTTGTCAGAACTGGCGCACCATAAGCCATCGTAGTGCGTTGCTTCTGAGGGAACACTTAAACAAATCAGCTGTCTGCTACACGTTAATTGTCTGTTAGATCGCTTGTTTTGCAAGCACGGCATGCAGTTTTTGTCTTCGACTTGCAAGACAACTGGATAAGGATCACCACAATTTATTAGCACGACAATGGTGACGAACAATACCTCCAAAGTGAATCACAGTGAGTCGGACAACTCCGCAGAGCTGAGCTCATTGATGAAAAGTATCGATAGAGTCTGATCTTAGATGCACGTAACAGGCCGTAAGTAGCAGCCCGTTACATAAAACAAGCAAAGTGAATAGGTACATTGATCAGAGAACAGGTTGAGCACGCTTTACACCCTAGGCCTGCAGCCTGTATTATGAAAAGAAAGTGTCTTGCACACCTTTGCGTATGAAAGCTACTCACTTTGACATCAGGACTTTAGCTCTCGGTCCCTTAAAGAGCTGTCTCTCTTTTAAGATATCTGTATAGCTAGTTACTTGGTACTGACATACTATGCATGCCACATTTCCCAGGATGCATCAAAATTCGTCCCACGCAGTTGCATAAGATTGGGCTGGAAACTCACGATAGCCAATGGAAATGGCAGAGGTATGTGACAACCTCAGAGCTTCGACGCTGACACATATCGTCAGCAGCACCCTGAAAAGACAGGTACTGAGTGAACACTTCTAACTCAATGACGTATACCTCACACCCGATCGTAAATGAACACCGGCAGCAACACCAGCTGTCAGGCAGCAGCAGCGTTGTTCTGCTGTCTTCTGGTGTCCTGCTCTCTGCGCCGTCTCGGCCGCAAGCCTGCAGACCGCCAAGGTAGGTCTAACCGCCAGCCCATGCGGTTCGAGTGGAGGCACGGACCGCGGCGTAGCGGGAAAATCCGATACGTGGAGCCCCTGTAGAGAGTCGGGGTGTAGCACAGCTCTCCCCGTCCACGTTCCCACTGCGGCGCGACGCTGGCCCCTCAGACGCTGCCCTCCGTGACCTGGACCGGGGTCAGCGTGGTCGTCCGATCACGCTGCCCTCCGTGACCTGGACCGGGGTCAGCGGGTGTCGTCCGATCACGCTGCCCTCTGTGACCTGGACCGGGGTCAGCGGGTGTCGTCCGATCACGCTGGCCCTCCGTGACCTGGACCGGGGTCAGCGGGTGTCGTCCGATCACGCTGCCCTCCGTGACCTGGACCGGGGCCAGCGGGCCGTCCTCCGATCATGCGTTTCCACCCTCTCTGCGTCGCCCCACATGTTAAACGCAATGCATGTGAAAAACCAAATCAGAATTATTGAAATCAAATTGATTTTGGTATTCTTTATTTAAAGCAAATGTTCGACTAAATCAGACAGAGCTGGTTAGGCTTCGGTCGATCTGACTGATGACTGATGACCGATGACTGATGACTTTCGCGCGCAAGACGCTCGCTGGCTCCT